TTTTTGGGGAGTTTTTCCTGATCAGCTGTGAGGGTCATAAGGACAGAGGGATGTTGTATGCTGTAAAGCCCTGTGAGGCAAATTGTGATTTGTGATATTGGGCTTTATAAATAAAACTGAACTGAATTGAATTGAACTTCACTCTCTGACCTGTTCACCACTTCGTTCTCTGTCACTCTGTTACTCCTGTCGGAATCCAGACTCACTGTACTACAGAGTGTGTACTTCTGCAGAGCAGTTTGACAGGGAGGGAGAGAGGGTGGAAGGTGGACTATTGCACAAAATGTTTCTGTATGATTTTATGCTAATATCTCACTCAGAATGTTGCTTTGTCACTTTCTGACTTTGATAATATTTCGTTAGCACTCCCCCAACCCCGAGTCATCATGACAGACTCATGTGGACTCCTCCTAGTGAAATATCTTTGAATGTGTACTGTGTGTAATGTGGCAACTTCCAGACTCCCGATTAAAGACAGCAGGTTGTGTCGTGTGAACAGCACGACAACAAGTCGTAAGGTGTGAACTTGAGCTGCGTCAACATGAGGAGAAATACAAAGCGTCAGTGAATGTTTAAACAACTTTCTACGGTAATTCAGATGGAAAACTTCACTGTGTGTTGTTGTGTGTGTTTCAGGTTTACACAGAAAACTACAACCTCCATCTTTGATCCGACTCTGGAAACAAGACAATGGGTGACTTGTTGAGCAAAATAGAGGAGCGTTTGAAGGAGAGGGAAAAGGAAGAACTGGAAAATTTTGTGAAGCGACTCCCCAAGGGTCCAGATCTGAGAGTCAGCAGGAGCATCAAGATGTTCACCAGTCTTGAGTCTTCAGACAACCTGAGGCAACACTACGAGACGAGGAAAATGGAGGCGGGTGATGTCGCTGCAGACTTGATCAAAAACCTGGTGGACAAGCTGGCTGACTTGAAGTCAGCTCCTCAACTGGCGGGCCTCGGAGCGCTGGCTGTCGCCGTCTTCATCGATGTCATTACCTTCAGTCCACCTGAGGAGAGCACGAAGGACGCTCTGCGATGTGTGTTTGCTGAGGAGAAGGCGTCTGAGGTCTGGGACCAGATCGACGAGTGCCTGAAGAGATGCATGATGTACATCAACGATGACGACGAACTGAGGAGCAACATCAGCCGGATCGAGTGCCAGCTGAGCGCCGCCCTCACCAAGCTGAAGAACTCCATGGTGAAGGACGGACACATGACGTCTCCGGCTCTGAAGGCCTGGGTGAACGGGGCAGCCTTCCACGTCCAGATGCTGATTCACCTGGTGAGACTCTGAGGGATTCAAACCTGCGACCCTGTGGAGAGAATCCTCTCAGTATACCAGAGCGACCTGGACACACTGTTCAAGGAGCACAAGGAGATGATCAGGAAAAAATGCTACATGAGAGTGGTGGTTTTATTTGACCAACCTGTTCACTACCTGTTTGATGAAGACTCAATGGGCCACGTTATAGATCCCAGAAACACCTATGACGAATACTTTGAGGTGTATTATGAGCACAGGTACGACAGGCAGAGGTGTGAGAGTCAGCAGTATTTCAGTGACGTCAGACAGAACCTGCAGCAGCTGGTCGATCAGAGAGGCTCCTTTAATGTATCTCCTTACCTCCACCACACTGCATCCTCATGGGAGGATGTTGGATCTCCATAAATCACTCTACATCACGGCAACAAAAGGGAATCGCTTCTCTCCATCACCTTTCCCAAAACAACCAGTACACATCACTGGTTGGTTCTCTGGTTGGGAGAGACCAGTTCAAACACTAACAACAATAGCTGCTGATGCATATGACATCATACAGTGGTGCACTGTCCAGATGGAGGGCAGGTAACTCGAGGCAGAGACGACTAACTCCAAACATGCTTATGATTTGTGCTGTTTACGACTGTGCAATCAGTCAGATCAGGAAAAAACAACTAAGGCTGCTACGTCCTGAAAATAAGACGTAAAGAGGTGAAGGGGGAAAAAAAACAGCAGCACGTGGATAAAAAAACAACTTGTGTCTGAAGGAGCTAAGTCAGCTAATGTCAAACTTAAACATTAAAGCATTAAACTCAACACACTTTGAGTTGGATATAATCACAATGTACTGTGACGACTTGTCTGTGACTTAGGCCATGACCCAGATTGTTAACAACAACTCACCAGACAGACCTCTGAAAACAATTGATCTATAAAATAGCAGCTAAAGTTAGCTAATATTAGCCAGTATTGTTAGCTAACGGAACAGTTGACCTAACAAGTAGAAAATAGTAGCCAAAGTTGGCTAATGTTAGCAAGTGGGGTCATTCCTATGTTTCCCGGGTTCTATGTTCCCCACTCAACCAAAAAGGGTTTCTCGCTTACTAAAAAAACCCAGGAAACATAGAACCTTTTTTGTGTAAGTGGGGAACATAGAACCCGGGAAACATAGCTACGCTCCTGTCCAGGGTATATTCAGGGATCCTGAGGTTAATTTCAATACCTTTTTAAGACTTTTTTAAGACCTTCCAAAAAACTTTAAGACCTCATCGCCACTTCAAGCTGTCGTTAGCAGCAACGCATCTTTAACTTACTAAACAGTTGTAGTTTGCAAGTAAATCTATGGTGCACAAACATACAACAGAACTCAGATAAGACGAGAAGGAATTAAGCTTGAAAGAATAAATTAAACCAAAGGCAGCTTTATTAAAATATAGAAAAATCACTTTTCTCCATTTTAATGGATCACATGAACCATGAGTTTAACTTCTCTGATGATACGAGCTGCCACCAAGTTCATCCAACACTCTGATGTCGTCATGTTCCTCTGTAACCAGCTCACACCACAGTACATGGCTTCATCACTTCCTGTCCTCCATCTGAATTTTGCATATCATAATAGTCACATGATGGCAAACAAGCAATTAAAAAGCATAACTGACCCTTTGCTAAGCCCCGCCCCTTTGCGATGGTCCGTCACACTGTCAGAGTTAGCATGAAACCCACTCTGTCACTACGTGAAGAAATATTATCAAAGGAAAAATAAAAAAGTAATTTGAGACAGACGGTCGATAATCAGGATGTCAAACTGATTCAGCAACAGAAACAGCTTAAAAAAACAAAGGCTAAAAGCTAATGGCTACCAGCTGAAGGCTGATGGCTAAAGGCTGACAGCTAATGTACAGATGACAGTGGAACAGTGAAGACATCACTGATGATCAGAGGACAGTGAATGTAACTGATATTTAACCAGCTGTGTGTCTTCACAGTGTGTGTGTGCAGACAAATGTGTTTAGCATGATTCTTGTTGGATGTATCTGCGTGGTTAAATAAGTCACTTTTAATACAAACATCAGCTGAATAAATGTAATCTATTACACTGCCCCCTCAGTATTCATTCTCTTGCACTGTGTGGTTACAGTCTGCAGAACAGCTGAACACAGACGTCGGATGTTGTTGGTGATTGTTGCCTTGATATAAGATTGGTGTCATGTGTTCACATACCTTGTCAATAAAGTTGGCGTGACTGAAATGACATCATCAATGACTGAAGAGACATCACTGGTGCAGAAATCTGAAACCTAAACGAGCAGAATCTGAATCTTGTATATTCTGATTCACACTTGAATTTCTCTCGATTTTTTTAACCCTTTCATCCTCCACTCATCCCTCCATTTTTCCATTCACTTGTTCACTGTTCCCACCGTGTCTCCTCCAAAGAGTGTGATAATAACTACAGAATATCTGCAGTATTATCACAACAACACTCACACTTCTCACCGGGGGATCTCATCTGGTCTACACTGGAAGGATCTCACCACCAACAGTGCTCTGACAGATCCACTGTGCTGTAGTGCAGCTGAGCAGCAGCAGGGGGCGCCATCACTCTGTTGGAGTTCATCTAATCCTAACCCTAGGTTTACTTTCACTTTCAGACATCAGTGAGACAACGGACAGAAAATACCCGTTAGACACAAACTGGAGCTGAGATCATGTCTGGACGAGTCTCTCTGAGCTCATATCAGGTAAAAACTGCTCTCTGACCTGTTCACCACTTCACCCTCTGACCTGTTCACCACTTCACCCTCTGATCAACAGGACTCATCTGTTACAGCTGATCTCAGTTCTGTCACCTGTCTGCAGTGAAGTATTCAGAGTCTGAACTGAAGCTAAAGCTAACAGGTCCCAGGTCATGTGATGTCACACCCAGCTGTGCTTCCTGTGTCTCTGTATGACTTCATTCATGTCGCCTCAACATGAGGACAAACACAGAGCTTCAGTGAATGTTGTGACCGCCCTCTTGCCTTCCCGTTTGGGTTGCCTTTTCCTTTAAGGAGGGAAACAGGAAGTGCATCATTAATTAACTCACACTGCCTGTGTTGCTGCTGCTGCTGCTCAGATATATGTATCAGCTGCTGGAGTCAGTCAGTTTCTCTCTCGGCCTGGAGGTATGGTCTGTTCTCTGATATAGTTTTTTCTTTGGTGTCATTTTCTTTGTTCATCACACGTCACTTTACACTCAAACAACACAGAACGCTGCTGATGTCACTGATTTACACTCTTTATGTTGCACTGGTTTAACTTATGTTCTGTTTAAGAAATAGAATAGAAATAAATATGAGACGAGCTGTGACACTGCAGAAACAAGGTTCTAAAATAATTCAGATGGAAATCTTCACTGTGTTGTTGTGTGTGTTTCATTGTTACACAGAACACTACAACCTCCATCTTTGAGCCGACCCTGAAACAAGACGATGGGTAATTTTTTGAGTGAAGAAAGGGAGCGTATGAAGCAGATTGAGAGGGAACGACTGGAACGTTTTCTGAAGCAGCTTGACAAGGGTCCAGATCTGAGAGTCAGCAGGAGCATCAAGATGTTCACCAGTCTTGAGTCTTCAGACAACCTGAGGCAACACTACGAGACGAGGAAAATGGAGGCGGGTGATGTCGCTGCAGACTTGATCAAGAACCTGGTGGACAAGCTGGCTGGCTTGGAGACAGCTCCTCAACTGGCGGGCCTCGGAGCGCTGGCTGTCGCCGTCTTCATCGATGTCATTACCTTCAGTCCACCTGAGGAGAGCACGAAGGACGCTCTGCGATGTGTGTTTGCTGAGGAGAAAGCGTCTGAGGTCTGGGACCAGATCGACGAGTGCCTGAAGAGATGCATGATGCACATCAACGACGACGACGAACTGAGGAGCAACATCAGCCGGATCGAGTGCCAGCTGAGCGCCGCCCTCACCAAGCTGAAGAACTCCATGGTGAAGGACGGACACATGACGTCTCCGGCTCTGAAGGCCTGGGTGAACGGGGCAGCCTTCCACGTCCAGATGCTGATTCACCTGGTGAGACTCAGAGGGATTCAAACCTGCGACCCTGTGGAGAGAATCCTCTCAGTATACCAGAGCGACATTGACCCGCTGTTCAGGAAGCACAAGGAGATGATCGAGGAAAAGTCTTCCATGAAACGGATGACTCACGTCTTGGTCCCTGAAGGTAAATTTTATGTGGATGAAGATTCAAAACTCTATGATATGCATCCTTTCGGCAGCTATGACGAATACTTTGAGGCGTATTATGAGCACAGATACAGCAGGCAGTGGTGTGAGATTCAGCAGTACTTCAGTGAAGTCAGACAGAACCTGCAGCAGCTGGTCGATCAGAGAGGCTCCTTTAATGTCTGATGAGAGGCTGATAAATCTGAAGACAGACACCACAGGGACCGAAGGATGTGACCAGTTTGAATCGGACTTGTCTCATGGATGTTTTGATTTGGACCTGGGGCTGTCCACATACTTATGACCACATAGTGTTTATTTGGTGAGTTGAATAAAGACACATAAAGAAGAAGTGATGCAGTAAAGTCACATCAGTCTGTTGTATGAAGTCATGTGTGATATTTACAGTGATGCAGAACATGTCATTAATAATCAATGAAGAATCATTCTCAATATTTCTGTGGACGCTGCATGTTTGTTCTCATGTTTGGTTCAGACAGAACAGGATGTTGATTCATCACAACTGACCTGAACCATTAAAGGGACATTTCACCCCAAAACCAAAAATGCATATTTTTCATTTAAAGGCAGATTAATCGTGTGTCGGCTTTAACCCTTTTTAAACATTTATACTTGTGCGGTGGTGTGTCTGTGTCAGTGTCCACTATTGGGGGGCAGAGTTTCTGTGAAGTGATGTAAAGTTTAGTTGATTCAAAACGCACATTAACAGAGACAATCTCATTTTCACTCTTCTTGTTCGTGCAAACAGTTCAAATAACCACAAGAAGTTTGTGCTCTAGAGAAAGGATCAGCACTCAGTGAATAACCTCCTAAGCCCTATGATAAGCTTCCTCTTCTCTACACTTTCCCAATTCAACCACTGTCCCTGTTTAGCCTGGGCCACTACCTTTGCACCCCTTAATATCTCCTCCTGTCTACATATCTGTTCTACAACCAGCTTTCTTTTATCTTTGGGACCTGCTTTATTCCATACTGCTTTGCCTGAGCCAAGCCCCAGGCCTCCCCGGCCAAACTGAACATTACCTACAATCTCTGCATGTCTAAGAGCTGCCTCTGCCTCCTGAACTGCTGATCTTGGGTTCCACTTCCTCCCCTTGGTTGGATTTGGAACCACACTCCTTACTACCACGTCCTTACTCCCAGATAACAAGAGCTCTGTCCTGACCTTGGTACATTTAAATTCCTCTGTTAAACTAGATACTGGCAGCTGAAGTATCCCTTTTCCATGCAATGCAACACTACTTAGGCACCTAGGAGCGCCCAACCACTTCCTAATTTAGGAGCTAACCGACCTTTCAATTCTCTCCACTACGGATAATGGAATTTCATAAACTGACAATGGCCACATTAACCTAGGATATAGCCCAAATTGCAAACACCACAACTTCAACTTTCCTGGAAGTTCTGATTTATCTATTCTATCCAATCCTTCTGCCACATCTTTCCTAAATTTCACCACCTGTTCCTCATCATTCAACTCCACATTGTACCACCTACCTAAGCTCTTTACTGATTTTTCCCTAATTGTTGGGATGTCCTCATCATCTATGACAAACTTCCTATCACTTAACTTCCCTCTACGTATCGAGATGCTTCTAGATTTACTAGGCTTGATTTTCATGCTGGCCCACTTGAGGTTCTTATTTACCTTCTCTAGTAGCCTCTTTGTACATGGCATTGTTGTGGTCACCAGTGTCATGTCATCCATGTAAGCCCTAACTGGTGGAAGATGCAACCCATTCTGCCGTCTCTCCCCACCTACCACCCACTTAGAAGCCCTGATGATTACTTCCATTGCCATAGTAAATGCTAATGGAGAAATTGTACACCCTGCCATGATGCCTATTTCTAGCCTCTGCCAACCTGTTGTGAAACCTGCCGTACTTAGACACAACCTAATATCCTGAAAATATGCTTTCACTAAGTTAACAACTACCTGTGGCACTCTGAAGTAGTCAAACGCACTCCAAATGAGGCTGTGCGGTACTGAACCAAACGCATTTGCAAGATCTAAAAATATTACATGCAGGTCCCTTTTCTTAATCTTCGCTGCCTGAATCTGGTGCCAGATCATGCTAGTATGCTCTAAACACCCTGAAAAACCTGGTATTCCTGCCTTCTGCACCATGGTATCTATTAAGCTATTCCTTTCTAAGTAGCTAGCTAATCTCTGCTCTACTACACTAAAGAAAATCTTCCCCTCCACATTCAAGAGAGAAATCATCCGGAACTGGCTTAACAGAGACAATCTTATTTTCACTCTTCTCGTTCGTGCAAACAGTTTATATTTGTCCAAATTTTAAATTGTGATCAAATATAATAATATAAATATATCTATTTCAAGCTCAGATTTGGTTATGGGGTTTTTTTTTCTGATGGAAGCAACGTCATACATGATGTGTCCAAAGACTGTCAGAAATTTAAATATCCAACAATAGTTCCTGGCTGTGATACGTACATGGGGTTATTCTGGCTTCCAAACCTGCATGTTTTTTTAAAAAAATGTTTCTAACAAGAACAAAAGAAAAAAAACAACAACAATTTTTTCAGAAAAAAAGAAAATCACCTGTTGTTGAAGGAAAAAATGGCCAAAAAAAGCAAATCCTCAAAACTTTTTTAGTTTTTAAAGGAAAAAACATTTTAAATAAAATAAACAAAAGTTTTAAAGACTAAAAAAAATCACCAATATTTTTTAAAGTAAAACTAAAATCACTACAAAAGAATTAAAGTATATAAAATCACCAAAATGTTGAAAGAAAACATGCCTCCAAAAATCTGTAGTAATATGAATACAAATGAAGAACAACCCCAGCCTGCACCCAGATGAAGAGGTGACTACATATCCCACAACCCCCTGCATCTGAGCAGCGGGCTGCAGCTCCACGTGCTCGGAGCTTTAAACACGGAGCTACAACCCAGAGGAGAGAAGAGGGGCGGGAAAGTGTGTCACTGGGGCACGAGGCTCTCCCCGCGGTCACATGGTCCCGTTTTCTGCCGCGTGCGGGCACGGTGGCCCCCGCACATTCACGTCATCATCCAGCGGAGCGCGCGCCCTGTTTGAAAGAAAAAAAAACAGTGAGAGAGGGAAGCGCGTGCAGCGAGTGACAGCAGGCTCCTCGTGCAGCAGACAGACAGACAGACATCACCTGTGCTCTGAGACACACTCAGGTGGATCCTTCTTCTTCTTCTTCTTCTTCTTCTTCTTCTTCTTCTTCTTCTTCAGTCCTCCTGCTGCTGCCGCGTCTCTTCTTCGTCATGAGCTCAGAGGAGACTTTTAAAAAACGCTCTCGTGCATGACTGACGGACTCCAGGATGACAACGACTGCCATGGACACAAACAACAACAACAACAACAACAACAACAATAACAATAGCAGCAGCAGCAGCTCAGGTAAACAACACCTTCTTATCCCAAAATCAAAGTGACGTCAGATCTGGAGCGCGCGCGGCGCGTGTGTGTTTGACTTGAGTTTATGAAATGCAGCGTGGTAAGTGTGTGTGTGTGTGTGTGTGTGTGTGTGTGTGTGTGCATATTTGGATTTTGAGTTTTGGGACGTGTCAGATCTGATGCGGCAGTTTGAGGCGGCAGGTGTGAGCGGCAAGCCGCGCGTCAAAACGCGTCTGTGTTTGATGTGTCGGCTCGGAGGACTGCGGAGGGCTGGACCCCGGATAACACGAAGCTATGGGACATGAATGAATGAAATGAATGAATGAATGAATGAATGAATGAATGAATGAATGATTAAACACCAACAGAGAAGCTGGAGCTTTTTGCCGCGCGGCACACGGAGCGCAGACTCAGCTGTGAACCGTCAGGCGGTGAATACAGGTGTCACTGGGCTGTGGCTCCTCCTCCGGTGTCACCTGTCTGTGTCACCTGTCAGGAACATGATGATGATGATGATGATGATGTTAATGAGTGTTTCCCGCCGCTCAGTCCGCGCGCATTAAGCTCTTATTCGTGTATTTTTTGCCAGTGTTTCCGCTGTGCCGCCTCGCTCCTCTCTGCGCTCATCATGTGTGTGTGAGGACCATCACGGGGACCGGCACCGTGATCCCGGTTGTGTTGGAGGAAGTGGGTCACGATGACACTGTCGGTCGGTGGGTCGCTCGGTGTCAGGTGGACAGGCAGGGATGTGCGCGTGCATGCGCGCTCCCAGCACCACAGCCGCCGCCGCCGCCGCCGCCGCCGCCGCCGGTTCACATGGACGACACACCGGGCCATGTGCGCTTTGTTTTCACTCAGCTCCGCGCGCTGTGATTGGCTGCCGGTCAGACTGAGCTCATTACGTAATGCTCCTCCTCCTCCTGTGTGTGTGTGTGTGTGTGTGTGTGTGTGTGTGGATCTGATACATGAAGTTGACCAAACATCCAACAACCATGACACACTCTGCTGTCACAATGTCTCACATGTGGTGAAGAGACTATTATAACTTGTTTACGACTTGAACCTCAAAGTTTAAGACTCGGGACTTGAGTGCAAAGATCCGAGTCTTACTTGTGACCCACTGCTGCCACTGATGCTGCAAAGTCATAAATATCAGCCCACTGCAGAGTCTGTAGTTTGTAGTGAAATGTGAATGAATGAGTGAGTGAATGATGCAGCTGGTTATGGAGCTTTGGAAACATGTCGACTAAATTAGCTAACTGGATGGCTAACTGTTAGCATCGCATGGCTAACGTTACCTGATGGTTTTTAACTGGTTTAACAGAGTCGAGCTGTTTCTGTGTCGTGTTAGCGCTGCTGCTGTGTTAGCTCGTGCTAACCGTGCAGACTCTCTAAAGGTCCTGACACACCAAGCTGACGGTCGGCCGTCGACCAAAGTCAGGCCGTCGGTGAGCGTCTGTCGGCCTAGTTTTTGCGGTGTGTCCCGCACCGTCAGCACTTAGGCGGCGGCAGCTTTTCGGCCGATTGAGCATGTTGAATCGGCGGCGGAGCTTGTCGGTGAGAGAGATCACTCTGATTGGCTGTTCAGGTTTTATTTCCTCGCCCCTGTAGCGAGTGAATCTGCCTGTAGTGAAACCGGGGCTAACCGGTGCTTCCTCCTCAGGCTCCACTTCACTCAGCTGCCCCACAGACCCGCTGCTTCTTCACACTTTAACCTGAATAACAAACCGGAGCTAGCTGGGAGCGGCTAGCGGAGCGTTAGCCGCAGCATGACCGGAGGGAAGCACAGCCAGTTAGCCTCCGCTAGTCTCTGAGCTAGCCCCGGCTCTCCGTTTGGATCCAACCGGAGCACCGAGCCCTGGTTTGTTATTCAGGTTAAAGTGGGAAGAAGCAGCGGGTTTATCGGGCAGCTGAGTGAAGTGGAGCCTGCGGAGGAAACACCGGGACCGTCTGGATGTAATAGTCCGTGGAGGTGCTGCGGTGCTCGGCTGCACAGATAGGAAACCCCTCGGCTGACAGGATGTACCACTCTCTCACTCCGCTCTCTCTCACGCAGGCGCAGAACGTACGTGCTACTTGGCCGTCGGATGTAGTCCGTGTAGTGTGTTCAAATGCAACTGACACAGGGCGACGTGAGGCGACGTAGACGACGCAACAGTTGGCTTTCGTCACCGCTAGTTCTTTGATGTCGGTTTGGTGTGTCCACACCTTAAGAGGAGAGTGGCTCTGTTGACGGCAGCAACCGGAAGTCTGCTGATCTGGCAGGACGTCAGGACGGTCTGAGATCTGACCCACGGCACAGATAGGATTGAACGGAGGTTGTGTTTGAACGTTGTGACACAAGAACACAGACTGTCAGAACACAGATCAGCATCACAAGCGTCCTCTGAGTCTGAGCTTTTCTGAGCTGTGTTCACAAGTTGGTTTATTCATTGTAGATCTTTACAACAGTTCACTGACACAACAAAGCAGACGCAACTTCAAGTACGATGCAAATCTGAGTCCAAACTCTACAGTTGACAGCTCGCAGGTTGTTGTTTCCTGAAGCGAAGGGAGTTCAGAGACAGTAACACACAGACAGCAGACAGACGGGAGAACGCCGGCCGAAACAAGTGTCGGACAGCAGGTTTACAGCCACAGTCTACTTCCTTTGAGTCCGGTGAAGAGACAGCTGGCGAGTAGACAGAGAGCGTCCGGCTGGAAACTAAATGTGATCTGTTGACGTGAGAGGCGTTCAGGAAATCATGTAAAGAGAACAGATGTCACCAGGTGCTGTGAGACTTAGAGCAAATTGTCACTGTCGGAGCATTTATCAGACTCCTGATGGACGGAGGACGTTTTAATAGATGAATAATTAGAATAAAATAAAATTAATAGATGAATTCAGTGTCTTTAAAGACTTGTAAGTATCTGCAGGAACGCCTGGTTTTAAAACACTTCAGTGTGTATTTGTGCGACATCACTGAGGGTCCTCACAAGTCCATGAGTCCTGCCTGCGTGTGCTGAGATGAATGGAGGGAACGTGAGCGCAGCCGAGGGAGGAGAGTGTGTGTCTGAGGACACACGTGGCTCAGAGGCGTGACTACTGACAACACACGAGCCTCCTCCACAGTCCACATGAGGGAGGAGGAGGAGGGAGGAAGGAAACAGAGCAGCAGCCGGTTGAATCACATTAAACTCAGTGAGTTCACTGATGTTTACAGACATATTCTCTGTATGTGGAATAATTCTGTGATATAATACGTCACAGCAGATTGTGAACACTTTCCTCAGTCATTTTCATTCTTTATTTTTTTAAATTCATTCATTAACAATCAATTAATTAATCATGATTAAGGGCCCGTCCCAGTACCCCCCCTTGACCCTACCCCTACATTTGCGTGTTCCCGCGAGGGGTAGTGGTGTCCCAGTTCCTTTTTGTGTGTAGGGGGCATAACGAGGGGTAGTGGGTATGAAACTAGCCCTTCGGAGCGAGGGATTTCAGATGCTGACTTTCCAGCGAGGGGTAGACGTCGCCATGGCTACCACCGAGCGAGAAACGAGGAAAAAAGTTCATACATAGCTAACGTTACCGTCGTCAGGTTGCTTGTTAGCTAGTTAGCTAGCTCGCACTATCTGGTGTCTGTCATCTGTCCTGTTCTGCAAAATTGTCGGACTTTTCACATTACGATAACACGCCAGCTAGCATAACTACGCTGCCTCGTAATGTTAGCTGCTTAGCTAGCTAACTAAGCAGCTAACATTACGAGGCTAACCAGCTAACCAGCAGCAGAAGTCCCCTGTCGTACATATCTTATTACTCTAATGGTACGTTAGTAGCAAGCATAATAGTAGCTAACGTTACCCTTGCGTTGTAGATGCCGGTTGGAAATGTAGATGGCTCACAGCTTCCTGTTTAAAATAGTTACGTATGCGTGAACGTAACCGATGCAGTGACGTAGTGAGTGGTGTCCCAATTCCTAGGGAAAGATTTCAACCCCTACCCCTCGTTGCTGCATTTTGAGGGCCAAGGGGTAGTGGGCAAGGGGGGGTATTGGGATTGGGCCTAAAACCTAGAGTCACCGCTCCCTGGTTATATGACTCCGCCCACCAGTCCACCCTGTGGTTGTATGACTCCGCCCACCAGTCCACCCTGTGGTTGTATGACTCCGCCCACCAGTCCACCCTGTGGTTGTATGACTCCGCCCACCAGTCCTCCCTGTGGTTGTATGACTCCGCCCACCAGTCCAGTGTCTCTGACAGTCTCCATCCATGTCAGTGAAAACATGGATGCTTCACACACAGAAGATCTATACAATCAGCACAGTTTCAAGATTAGAGTCACCAATTCAGTATCTGACCAAATGTCTCCCCTTCTGTTCCTGAGATATGATGTTAAAACATGATGATGTCACAGTCAAGCTGACCTTTGACCTTTGGGGTAGAAAATCTCATCACGTCATTATTTATCACCTGACAAACTGAGACGACCTCATTGAGATTCACTTCCTGTGTCAGTGTCAGGTGGGGGTGCGATCCAAGTCTCATACTTTTACTTTTTACACTGAGCACGTCCTGCAGCCGCCGTTAAACAGTTGGTGCTGTCACATTCAGTCAGGATGTTCTACTGTCTCATTACATCACACCCTGACCTTTGATCCTCTGTCTCAGTTAACTGTTACCATGGTGATCAAACTAACTGTTACATCACTGCACAGCCAGCCTTCAGTCATCAGGTCCACACAGTTTAATCAGGGTCACTCTCATGTTCAGATGTCTCGTCCAGCTGGTTTTCTGTCTCTGTCTGTCAGTCGCTCTACAGCAGGAAACAGCTCTTCAAAATAAAAGCTCTGTGCTGGAGATTCACTGCACTTCAAAATAAAGTGTGGTTGTTTCTTTTTTACACTTGAGTCACTTGAGGTCCATTCAGAGTCCACTCACTTTTGGACCGCGACCCACCAGTTGGGAACCACAGGTTTAGACGTTGCCTGAACAGGAAGTGAGACATTGTGTGTGTGTGTGTGTGTGTGTGTGTGTTTGTGTAGTAAAGCACTGTAACCATGACGACAGGTGCAGCAGACGCAGTGATTCACATGCTTGAAATGAAAATGTTTCTATGGGTCCTTGAAAAGTCCTGGAAAGTTTTGAGATGTTGTTCATGAAAATGTGATGATGCTGTTTACATGTTTACAAACAAAGACCAGCACTCACATGACCGTCACACTCCTACAGCTGTGGCGTGAAAACTTCAGACTGATCTGACGCGTAATCAGATTACTGTTGTGTCAAACGTGTGTGTGAGGTAGAACACATCTGTACAGAATGTTGTGATGTTTGTGTCATGTGACCCAGTCAGACAACTGATTACATCATCATTATCAAACACGAGCTAAGCTAACCTCAGAGTGAAAGTGACTGAGATAATATCAGCTGATGCTAAGCTAACCTCAGAGAGAAAGTGACTGAGATAATATCAGCTGATGCTAAGCTAACCTCAGAGAGAAAGTGACTGAGATAATATTAGCTGATGCCAAGCTAACCTTAGAGAGAAAGTGACTGAGATAGTATCAGCTGATGCTAAGCTAACCTTAGAGAGAAAGTGACCTAGATAGTATCAGCTGATGCTAAGCTAACCTCAGAGAGAAAGTGACCTAGATAATATCAGCTGATGCTAAGCTAACCTCAGAG